CTGTTTGGGTTTTTTTTGACTTCCTGTATGGATATATTCTCTTTCATCATATCAGGGAAGTTCTCCTTCAAGAAATCTTGGACAATTTTCTTAATGGTTTTCTTTTTCCCTTCCTGTTCTGGAATTCCTGTTACACATAGGTCATTCCTTTTGAAGGAGCTGTGGTAGCATAGTGCGTAAGGCATTTGACCGCTAACCAGAAGTCTGGCCGTTCAAACGTACCAGCCATTCCTTGGAAGGAAGTTCGAGCACTCTACTTCTGGAGTGATACCACCTTGGAAACCCAAGGAGAGTTCGCTGTTAGTCAGATCTGACTCCATGGCACATAGCAACAACATCAGCATTCCTTTTGATGGTATCCTATATAAACCTTAGGCTTTCTTCATTTTGTTTTGATCTTTTTTCTGATTGATCCCTTTCCAAAGAGGTATTCAGGTATTTGTCTTCAGTCTCATTAATTCTGTCCTCCATTGCATCAATTCTTTTCCTTTGCCCTTTCAATGTGTTTTCCATTTCTGACAATTTAGCATTAAACTTCTGGAGTTCTATCTGTAGATTTTGAATCATTTCTAATTTTTCACTTATTTTGTCATTTTGTTCTTGTATTTTCTTTGAAAATTGTTCTTGCTTTTGCCTGTGTTTTCCTTAATTTTGTTGTGTTTTCCTTGATCTCTCTCTCAATACTTTGAACATGCCTAAATATAATTCTTTTAAATTCCTTATCATGGAGTTCCAATGCTGCTGCTTCCTCAAGGATGTGTTTTGGGTCTGTATCCTGCTCTCTTGTTTCTACCACTTTATCCTGCTTCTTTGTGTGGACTGTGATTGTCTTTTGCTTCTGAGACATTGTGACATGTTGTATTTAGATCTCTGTTAACTGTTCATGAAGAGCCCTAAAGGTGAATTGGGCTCTTCTTGGTGGTCAGTTATTGTTGGCCAATTGGTGTAGAAAGAAGTAGTGGCTCTTCCTCAGTAAGTGGAGTTGTAGTAGTTGTGGGTGTGGTTGTGTTGCATGTGCATGGTTGTTGTCTCCTCAGACAGAAACAGCCATTGAAAAAGCATTAAAAAGTAAAGCTAGCAGACAAAAAACACTGCATAAACACACAGGAACAATTGCCAAAAAAAGGAAAAAGAAAAGAAAACCCTGCCCCACAATATCTGGTGAGAGTGTAATAAGAGAAGAAAGGTAGAGTAGGATAATAATGAAGGAAAAAATGGGAAAAATGCAAAAAGTAAAACAAGGTATGGTGTTATCTGTGAGAAAGAAAAAAATTGGAACAAGGATCAGAGAAGAGAGAAAGAGCTGAAAACTAGAACCATTCTAGTCTTTGGTGTCCAGAATGTCCTTGTGGTTTCCAGCAAGTGGAGCATATTTTTAAGTTTCTGGAATCTGGGAGAACACTGGCACTTTAAATATCCAAAATGGTTGAACCATTTGTAAACATTAAAAATGGCCACACCCTCTGGGCATGCAAAAGTTCGCAGTTCAGCCCACCTTCCTCTTCGCTGCTTCCCCTTTTATTCACCAGGCACCAGTGCAGGCCTTCTTGTAGTCCCTGGCTAGCAGGGCTGATTTTTGGGTTATTTCTTCAGTCCTAACATCATTTGGCAATGTCCAGGATTGCTGTCAGGATCGCTGCCAGACTGCAGCTCCGCATGTCTCTTTTTTTGGTGTTTCTATGCACATTTTTCTATTAATTGGAGTTTAGTTTACTTCTATATCCTTCCCTTCAAAGCTCAGGGCTCCAGGATTATCTTTTGTATCTGTGTTAATTCATTCCCCTTTTCTTTGTTGAAGGAGCTCTGGTAGCATAGTGCCTAAGGCACTTGACTGCTAACCAGAAGGCTGGCGGTTCAAACCCAACAGCTACTCCTCGGTAGGAAGGTGGGTCTGTGTAGTCTGTCTGCCTATTCTGACATCTTACCGGAACTCCCAACTACGTTTTCTTTAGTGTTTCATAGTATTCCATTGTGTGTATGTACCACAGTTTGGTTATCCATTCTTCTGTTGATGTGCACATAGGTTTTTCCCATCTTTTGGCTATTGTAAATAATGCTGCAATGAAAATGGGTGTACATATACCTGTTCTTGTCCCGTTTTTCACTTCTTTAAGATATATACCTAGTAGTGGAATGGCTGGATCAAATGGTATTCTAATTCCAACTTTTAAGGAATCGCCATACTGCTTTCCATAGTGGTTGAATCATTTTACAGTCCCACCAGCAGTGTATGAGAGTCCCAATCTCTCTGCATCGTTGCCAGCATTTGTTATTTTCTGTCTTGTTGAACTTTGCTACTAGTGCTGGGGCAAGATGGTATCTTGTTCTTGTTTTGATTTCCATCTCTCTAATGGCTAATGACTGTGAACATTTCTTCACATGTTCATTGGCACCATGAATATCCTCTTTGGTGCATGTCTGTTCATGTCTTCTTCCCATTTTTAATTGGATTATTTGTCTTTTTGCTCTTGAGGTGTTGGAGTTTTCTATAAGCTCTAGAAATAAGTCCCTTGTGTCAGGTATGTCATTGCTGAATAGTTTTTCCTAATCTGTAAAATCTCTTTTGAGTCTTTTGGAGAAGTCTTTGGAAGCACATAAAAATTTAATTTTCTTTTTGTGAACATTTAAAAAATAAAACTTTCAATGAAAGTTTATCTAGCATTTTAGGTCCCCATTCAACAATTTCTTCACAAGTTGTTCATTGACATTGGTTACATTCTTCACATTTTTTTTCTTTTTTATAAGAACTTCATTAATTTCAACTTTCTTTTGAGCAATATCCAGCATTGTTTTAAATGTTCTATATTTTGTATGTTTGGTTTGGTTTTAGTCTTTATTATAAACAAAGAAAACAGTAGTTATAGAAGCTTTTTAACTTCCTTAAGGCCACATAATTTACAAGTGACAGAGTGAGTTCAACCCAGTCGTTCTGTCTTTAAAGTCCATGTTCTAACCTTTTTTTTTTTTTTTTTAAATAACACAATTTCCTCCTTATTTCAAATGTTTTGTATGTCAATATTCCAATTTGCAAGGGATGGTCTTGGTTTCCAGGAACATCATTAGCTATTTTATGCTTTGATTCACTCCTCTACTTGTGTTTTGGATCATTTCCTTGTTCGTCTCTTCACTGATTGGGTTTTCTGTGTTACTCAGTTTGCTGGGTATTGTTCCAGTTGAAATTTTTAATGTATTAATACTCTTTCTCTGGTGTGAAATCCTAAGGCATAACACTAAGAAGAAAAGATCTGTTTAAGTAGAATAAAAAGAAATATCTCAAAAGTTTAATAAATATATAGTTGGTATACCCTTAGAGGTTAGATCAGCACTTCACCCTGAAAATTTTTTATGCTTTACTTTTACCTTCACATTGAATATTCTATACAGTAGAAATAAATGGATTAGTGTTTTGTGGATGAAAGATGAAGACTATGCTGGTAATTAAAAAACCAATTTCCTTATCATAGTTCCCAGAACCAAACTGAAGTCACTGCCATCAAGTCGGATCCAACTCTTCGCGACCCCTCCTTGTGAGTTTTTGAGGTTGTATCACTACGGAAGTAGATTGCCCAACCTTCCTTCTGAGGAGTGGCTGGTGGGTTTGAGCTGCCAGCTTTTTGGTTTGCAATCAAATGCCTTCGGCACTAGGACATCAACTTATAGAACATCTATTTTCTGGTCCAAACCAGCCTTAGTAATAAACTTGGATAAGTCAGATATGTTGTCTGAGCATTGTTTTTTTTTCCATCTGTACAACAGTAGCTATGGTCTATATAACTTAGGTGATCAATATGATTTAGGGTTTTTGCAAAAGTCTGTGGAAGTGTTTTCAGTAACATTTGAGAGACATTGACGTAGGTGACCTTTGTCAGTGGTGTCTTACCTAGCATGTTATTAGCTTGATTTTTCAAAGCTTTTTATTATTAGTCACAGAAACAAAGTCTAATTTTTCTTCTTATTTCAGATTACAAGTGGACACCTGAGTCAGCATGACCTGGAATCTCAGATGAGAGAGCTTATCTACACAGACTCAGATCTTGTCGTCACCCCAATTATCGACAATCCGAAGGTACAGAAAGATATCTTAACAACTGTGGGCTGAGTTTTAGACTTCACTGTGGCCTGAAGTCTGATATTTTCATTCGAAATATTTTTGGCCTTCTTTTCTTTCTTGGTCCCTCTTTGTGTCTGCTTCTATTTCATTTGTGCCATGTGTCTACATTTTCAAGTCTCACCCTGTCTATCATCCTCTCCTTGTCCCGCCTCTACTTCTACTTTATTAAAAACAAAAACAAAAACAAAAACCTACTGCCCATCTATTCAATTCTGACTCTTAGCGATCCCCATTGGGTTTCTGAAGTGGTAAATCTTTAAGGAATTAGATTACCTGGTCTTCCTTCTGTGGAGTAGCTGGTGGGTTTGAACCTCCAACCTTCTGGTTAGCAGTCAAATGCCTTAGGCACTGCAGTTTTCTTTCCCCTGTTTCTGAGGTGTTACCTCTACCTTCCATCAGTCTACTCTCTACAGACCAAGGAGGAGCCTCAGACCTGTGCATTGGTCTTTTTGTTTTTCTGTACATACTTGTGCAAATCACTCCAAACCATCTAGTCACTGATGTGCATTATGAAGACAGAAGTTAGAGAGCACTACTCACCAGGCTGGAATGGGCTGGGCAGATCACACCCTCTCATAGGGTGTCAAGGCTGTAGGACAGAGAGCAGAGAGATGCTGTGGGAATTTGAGGAGTTGTGGTTCACAGAGCAATTCTAACCCACTGTGAATTTTGTTGTTTCATGACCTTAGTTATAAAATACTATGTAACTAGAAGATGATGAGTATCCTTCTTAAACAGAACAAAACAAAAAAACCATTAATTTCTCAGTCTCTGTTTTAATTTCTAATTTATTACCAGACACACACTCCACTACCTATTCCACATTTTAATTCTCCTGAGTGCTTTATGTTTATTGTTGAAAACATGGACAGTGAAACATACACCAATTCAACAGTTTCTACATGTACAATACAGTGACATTGATTACATTCTTCAAATTGTGCAGCTATCCTCACCCTCCATTTCCAATTTGTTCCTTCCCTGTTGACATAAACTCACTTGTCCCTAAGCTTGCACTAACCTTTCAAGTTGGTGTTATCATTTTGATCCCTTACAGGAAGTTTTTTAAAAGATCATAACTCCCATAGCAGGCATTCTTTAGTTAAGCTAGACTATTGTTTGGTTTAAAGAAGCCTTCAGGAGATATTTTTGGTATAAGATTTCAGCGTTAAAGATTGTCTTAGGAGTCAGTGGCTCCAGAGATTATGCATTGTATGAGAACTGAAATTCTGTTGTACATTTTCCTTCCTTTTCATTAAGATTTTTCTATAGAAGTTTTGATAAAAATGTTCATTTTTAGTACTGGTAGCTGGACACCAGCCAGTTCTTCTTGTCTCATAGAAAGGAGGCAGTTGTTGATGGAGAAAGTCAGCCACATACTCCATTTCCTCCTCCTATTCCTGACAATTCTTCCTCTGTTGCTGCTTCCTTTTTTTTTTTTTAATGTTTCTTTTTTCACCAGGATTACAGGTTGGATAGAGACTGGTGGAACCCCTGAGACTATTGGCCCTAGGTTACCCTTCAAGCCTAGGAATGGACTCACTCTCATGGATTGGCTCTCAGCCCAACAGCAGAAAGACCTACAGGCAGAACACCTACCTCAGGGCGTTGTGCCTCTTAGATCAATCAGCTATAAGACACCAGACGGGCAGCACTCACATAGAGGGATAGCTGGACAGACAGGAATACATAGTTAAGAGGGGAGGAAAGTTTTTTATGGTTGGGAATGGTAATTGAGGCCATAAAATAATAATAATAATAATGTCTTTTTCAGTATTAAGTTATAACTGTTTAATCTTGTTGGGAATCATTACTATAGTTTGGACTAATTGGTTTCTTGGATGCATATTTATTTCCTAAAAAGACAGAGTTAATATAGGTCATCAAGCAATTTTTCATAATGAAACTAATTTATGAGTTCGGGTATCTGACAGATTAACTGTATTATGCTAAATTTGATGGGTAATGCGTACTTTTTCCAGTGGACTTTATAGAATGATGTGTGATACCTTTTGACCATATTCCTGCTCAGAACCCAAAACTCACTGCCATCGAGTCAATTCAGACTCATAGTGACCCCAAAATCTTTATAGAAACAGACTACCTCATCTTTCTTCCATGGAGGAGTTTGTAGGTTTGAACCCACTGACCTTTTGGTTAATAGCTAAATGACTTAACCACTACACATAAGCACGACTTAGTAGTTTCTGGGAAACTTTAGTCAGTAGAGGCTTTTTTTTTTTTTTTTTTTAAATTCGAAACTAATTGTATTTTTATAGAAAAGGTTAAAAAATAGTACAGGGTTCCTAAATACCTTTCACTCAGCTTCTCCATTCTTAGCATCTTAACCTGACTATAGTACAGATATCAAAATGAGGAAATTAACGTTGTTGTTGTGTGCCGTCAAGTTGGACCCGACTCATAGTGACCCCTCCTTGGGTTTCAGAGGCAGTATCTCTGCGGATGTAGATTGCCCAACCTTCCTTAACATTAGTAGTATTAATAAAACTGCAGAATCTATTTGAATTTTCCTAGTTCCATTTATATCCTATGTCCTTACTCTGTTTTAGGATTCCACGTTGCAGTTAGTTGTTGTGTCTCCTTTGCTTCCTACATCTGTCCTTGTCCTTTGTGGCCTTATGATAATTTGTCAGTCTTTCCTTGTATTTCATGACCTTGACACTTTTCAAGAATACTGGTCAGGTATTGTGTAGAATGCCCTTCAATTTGACTTTGTCTAAATTTATCATGGTTAGAATGTATTTACGCGTTTCTGACATGAATACTACCATGAGTAAAGGTTTTTAAAATACTGTATATTAGAGGTTTTAGAGAAGTTAGACATAGTAATGGGGGTTAAATTTTTTATTAAACATCTCAATAAGGAAGTACTCTGGCTGTTTCTTAAGGGAACTCCTGACTCCAACTGCGTGTTTTCCTCCAGTGAAGCATGCACTTTCCTATTGATGCTGTTCAGCCTGCTGATGTGTTGTCTTCTCTAATTCAACTGTCAAGTCCTAACTATCTTTTAAGACCCCAACCTGCTACTCACTTTTTCCATAAACTCTGTCCTGACCACAGCAGCCTAAAGTGCGTGCTCAGTCTCTAAATTTTTTAAAAAACAATTTATCTCTGAAATGCTTTGTCTATAATTATATCTGGCCCCGACTCATAGCGACCCCTCCTTGGGTTTCTGAGGCAGTATCACTACGGAAGTAGGATTGCCCAACCTTCCTTCCGAGGACATAATTATATCCTGCCTGGCTTGAAGTGTTATGGAAATATTTTATATTTTACTGTTTAAATGTTTGCTCTTCTTCCTAACCATGGTATTACTCTCTGATAATAAGGATCATGTCTTTTATATCTCCCTTACTGCCTCACCTTGGTAAAGATTTAGCAACTATGTGTTGAATGACTGAATTTTCCACCTACAGTTAAATTGGGTTAAGCATGAGACAAGATAGAGTGAGTCTTTTCCATGAAGCTTTATTTTACTGCTGGTGTCATTTTGGGAGCTCTGGTAGCGTAGTAACTAAGGCACTCGACTGCTAACCAGAAGGCTGGCAGTTCAAACCCACCAGCCACTTCCTCAGAAGGCAGATGGGGCAGTCTCCTTCTGTGGAGATACTGCCTCGGAAACTCAAGGAGGGGTCGCTATAAGTCGAATGTGACTTGTTGGCACATAACAACAACAACGATGATTTTAAAAAATAAATTATTACCTATATTTGTGTATTTGAATCTGAAAGGGCGTTGTTGAATTCTTATCCGTTTGATAACAGACTTTTACAGTATTCCTTTGTTCAGTTCAATTTAGTAAATATTTATTGAGGACATCATATGAACTTGATGTTTTATAAAGCACTGTTGGAGATGCAATATGGGACATAATTCCAACCCTGATAGATACATAATCTGGTAGAGGAGATAGATATGTTTCTCAAAAGATGTCTCAAAATTTCTTTTTTTTTTAAACTGCAGATAATGAAACAACCACCAATTAAATATGATGCCAAAATATTGCATCTGCCAGCATATTCAGGTAGGATCATAAAGGGTTTATTAAACATATAGACATTTTGGGTATTGATACAAGTATGAAATTTATTAGAAATGGAAATATTTTCTTATATGAAGAGCTAAATTCCTATTTTCTTGCCATTTGGCTATATTCTTGGGGCAGTTTTATATAAACTATTAAACAGTAAACCATTTGTAGCCCTTGATGTTACACAACTAAGTCTGGGCTGCTTTATACTCTGGTGGGTGGGGAAGTTCCTGTAGAACTGGGTGAGTATTCCTGTTCAGTGGGTGGGGCACCTTCTCTCGCCCTCCCCCTTATTAAAGCCTATTGAATTTCCATTATTTGTGTTGCTATTGTGGGTAAAAATGTTGGGAGTACAATGAATAATTGGAATTGTGCCTCAGGGAGTGGGACAGTGGAAATGGTGGTTCTTTTTTTTTTTTTTCCTGGGATAGTTTGGGAATGGAAATATTTAAGGATGATTGTTGCATTTCCTCTCAGCTAATGGAAATTTTTATTTAGGGTGAACAGAGGAAATTTTTAGATATTATAAATTTTAATTTTGTTAAACAAGTTATATTTTAACTTGAGCTTATTTGGAGATAATTATTCATAGTTAGAGTAGAATTCACAACTTGATGTAAATTCAAAATAGACTTAAATTGAAATAAAGCAACTATCTTAGTTATCTTAAAAAACAAAAACCCACTGCTGTCAAGAAGATTCCAGTTCATAGCAACCCCCACTGAGTTTCCAAGGCAGTAAATCTTTACAGAAGTAGATTGTCCCAGCTTTCTTCCTCAAAGTGGCTGGTGGCTTTGAATTTTCTGGTTAGCTCTCGGATGCGTTAGGCACTGTGCCACCAGAGCTGTATCTTACTTATCTAGAGCTTCTATAACAGAAGTACCACAAGTGGATGCCTTTAACAAACAGAAATTTATTATTTCACAGTTTAGCTGGTCAGAAGTCCAAATTCAGGACAGTAGCTGGGAGCTCTGGTAGCATAGTGGCTAAAGCACTTGACTGCTAACCAGAAGGCTGGCTGTTCAAACCCACCAGCTACTCCTTGGAAGGAAGGTTGGGAAATCTACTTCCGTTATGATACTGTCTTGGAAACCCAAAGAGGGGTTGCTATGAGTCGGTCCGACTCAGCGGCACATAACAACACAACAACAACAACAGCTGTAGGAGAAGTCTTTATTTCTTGGCCCTAGGCAAGGTCCTTGTCTCCTTTCAACATCTGTGGGTGTGTGTTGTTCCTTGTAGATCTCTATGTGTCTTGGTATTAATTTTCTCTTGGGTCTAGGAGGTCCGCAGTGCCGCATCTCTGGGTCCAAAAATGTATTCTGCTCCCAGCTCTTTCTAGGTGCTACTGGGGTCCCCCCTCCTCTGTTTGCTTCTCTCTCCTTTTATCTCTTGTAAGATAAAAGGTGATGGAGGCCACACCCCATATATTGGACCAGGGCTATGACCTGAGTTTGGGGTGTTGTATCCCACCCTAACTAATTCCCTTAAAACTGATTGACTGACCACATCAGATCATATCATGAGGATGATTGAATTATTACATAACTACCAAACTACTGAGAATCATGGCCCAGCCAAGTTGACATGTATTTTTTTGGGGACACAATTAAGTCCATGACATCAATTAATGACTTATATAGATCTATACTGATAAAAACAAAAAGCAATAGTACAGAAGGACATTTTGAAAGACTAATGTGAAGCAAAATGTTTTTAGTATTTATTGATTTCATTGCCAAGTGGAACCCTTATTTATGAAATACTAAAGGGTTGTTATTTGGAAATAATCTTCTTTATTCCATCTAAATCATTAAGGTTGACTCTACTTTAAGGAGGCACCTCTTCCCTAGTCATATTGTGAGTGCCTTCTGACCTGAGGAGCTCATCTTCTGGCACTATATCAAACAAAGTTTTAGAGCTATTCATAAAGATTTCCAGTAACATATCAGACAGTGCTTCACTGCTATTTGTAAGGTTTTCACTGGCCAATTATTTGAGAAGTGGATGGCCCCTTCCTTCTTCCAAGTCTGTCTTCATCTGGAACTCTGCTGAAACCTGTCCACAATGGGTGACCTTGCTGGTATTTGAAATCCTGGTGGCATAGCCTCCAGCCTCACAGCAACATGCAAGCTACCACTGATATGCAAGCATGACAAACTGATAGACGTTGGATGGAGTAAACCTTTCGGGACCTGCATTTGCTGATGTGGCATGACTCAAAATGGGAAGAAACAGCTGCAAACATCCATTAATAATCAGAACATGGAATGTATGAAGTATGAATCTAGGAGAATTGGAAGTTGTCAAAATTGAAATGGAACACATAAAGATCAATATCCTAGGTATTAGTGAGCTGAAATGAACTGGTTTTGGCCATTTTGAATCAGTCATATGATCTACTGTGCCGAGAATGACAAATTGATGGGGAATGGTGTGGCATGTATCGTTGTAAAGAATGCATCAAGATCTGTCCTGAAGTACAGTGCTGTCAGTTATAGGATAATATCCATATGCCTAAAAGGAAGACAAGTTAATACTATTGTTTTTCAAATTTATGCACCAACCACCAAAGCCAAAAATGAATAAATTAAAGATTTTTACCAGCTTTTACAGTCTGAAATTGACCAAACACACAATCAAGTTATGTTGATTATTACTGGTGATTTGAATGCAAAAGTTGGAAACAAAGAAGAATCACCAGTAGTTGGAAAACATGGTCTTGGAGATAGAAAT